ACACACTCCACTGCTGCGGTGTAGACTGTGTTCGAACTTTGATGGGTCATCATGAAAATATTGACTGTCTTATAAATGAAGCGTGCTTGAAGCCGAAGTTACCGTGCTTAAAGGCGTGTAATTTATACGGCAAAATTTAAGTAAGAGCCGTTTAGCGTGCTTAAGTCCGAAACGTGCTTTAAGCCGGCGTGCAGCCGGCACGGACTGTATAAACAAAAATCTCCATAGCCTCACAACGATATTCTCTCTGTCTCTAAACACACACAAATCACACAACATACACAATGGATAAAACAATATGAAAGCTAAAAGAGCAAATAAAAAATGAATGACCCAGGACATATTAAAACTAGAGAAGACAGTCAAAATCAAACATGGAAAAGTACATCTTTAGCTATGGTCAACACCCAAAGGCTATAGTATTTGGTCTAATGCTTGCTTTTCTGCACCAAAGGGTGTGACATCACAGCATTTTGAAAACCAATTTCATCTTATTTAAATCACATGGGTCTCAACTCAGAATTCTAAAAAAGGAGGAACTTCCCGGGTGATCGCCACAGAAGCTCATTTTCGCGAAACACCCATTATTATTATACTGTTGAACCATATAATGCTGAAATGAAAACCATCTATTTATCAAAGCAAGGTTATTTCACGCCAATTTGAGAGTTTGGGAGATAATTTCAAGTAAGAGTCACGCACCAAATTTACAATCTTGATTACATACAGAAAGTGGTGGCGCCTAGGGTCTTGTGCGACTTATTAATATTTTCCCTTCATCATATTCGCCTGTATATATTAACTATATAAAAAAGAATCTTGCTTTGAGCCTAGAACCATAATATCGACTGTCATGATTCATATCATATGTATATATAGGCCTTTATAATAAACGTGAAAGACAAAAATTAATGCTCTAACTCAAAGTACAGTAGAATAGCACAAGTAGACCTATTCAGTGTGAGAGGTGTAAAAACTGTGGGAGGGTAAAATGCAGTGATACTGAAAATCTGCGAATCTTGTACAGAAAGCTAAAATATACTGCCACCAATCCAATGAAACACGAACACTTAGGCCGTTTTCACACAAGGCCTGAACCCACGCACACTTTACTTAGCAGAGAGCTGTAGTAGTTATCAAAATTCTAAACATTAAACATATTTAATTTGTTTCCAGTTTCAGTTTTTTTTGTCCATTGGTGTTGCGTTCAGCCCTCCCCCTATCCCTGAGTGCGTCTTTTTTTAAAAATCAATAATTCCCCCCCCCCCCCCCCCCCCAATCACCCAACACCTCTTGATAACGGATTTTTGAGCCCCTAAAAACCGCGAGGGGGTTCATTGACCGGCCATAATTGCGAACCCGACAAGACGCTTGTATAACTTTCTTTTCTTCATGTTGCCCCTATAAGAGACGACACAGTGACAGATATATATATTGATTTACTTTCAAGGCGACACCACATTTGTAATGCCGAACCTGCAGGTTACAATAATTGTTGCGTTATCAGACAATTACTGACAAATTTCTTGGTGGTAACGAAAGCGAAAGTAAAGGCTTACGGGACGCTCTTTTATGAAATTTAGTGGGTATCATGCTGGACTATAGAGCGGTTGACCCTCTAGTGCGCCTTTTCGAAAAAGCGCAAACTTTGCGAACAGAGTTAGAATCTACCCTACTTGTGTGAAAAAGAATAATAGTGACACTCTTTTTGGCTGAGTGAACTATCTCTTGAACCTTCCAGTTACCGTGTACGTAGACCCTAAGACTACGTGCCCGGTTACCGTGTACGTAGATCCTGAGGCTACGCGCCCGGTTACCGTGTACATAGAACCTGAGGCTACGCGCCCGGTTACCGTGTACGTAGACACTCCGTTCTTTGTTTGTCTCTGTGTTCCTTTGTCCCCACCTATTTCACACTCTATATTTCTCTCGTTCCCTCCTGCCAACTGGGGCATGTCATTACATTTTGCTAGCCCCTCTCTCTCTCTCTCTCTCTCTCTCTCTCTCTCTCTCTCACACACACACCTCCCTCTCCCCCCACACGCACACACACATACACACACACACTAGATTTCTACCGGGGCTGGGGGCTGAAACTTCCCGAAATCACAAAAGAGTTCCCCTACTGGGTCTGTATACTTTGTGACTTTGTTCCCGGTTACCGGGTCTGTATACACTTCGTTTGTCAATTGCCACCGAGTGAAGCGGTGTCAAGTCTGAAAACAACACTACCTTGATTATACATAATGTGTGTCTAATGGGTCAGTTTGTTCTCAACTAATTTTATTGGACGAGCATCTAGTCTAGAGCTACGGTACCAACTTGGCGTGTTTTCAATGAGACGTAGGCCTAGATCTAGGCTAGCCTTAGCCTACACTTTGGTGTAGAAAGGTGTAGAACCAACTCAGGCAATTCTAGAAGTAGAAGGTCACAAACGCACACAAACTCAAGCAGAAATTCACGTTATATCGGGGAACATAAATCGGGGACGGGGGGTCAGGAAAAGACACACACACACACACACACACACACACACACACACACACACACACACACAGAGAGAGAGGGACAAAGAGGCGAACGCACAACACCGAGCACTCAAGCACAATAAGCTAGATCTACGCAAAAGAGCTCCAATTTACTCGGTGGCTATTGACAAAAAGTCAATTTTTGTCAATTGCCACCGCGTCACTCTGTGATAATTGACACTACCTTATAGAATAGCTCCCACCCTGGTGCACATTTGGTTGATAGAGGAAACGCACAACTATCCATTGATTGTTGCGCATTTTGTATATCGGTGGAATGCACAGCGCTTTTTGTCGATCCGTTTGGTTCCGCATTCTATAGGTAGATCTTACCCCTGAGTTTTGTTATGTTTTGTTGTCGTCCAGAGTGTAATTTAGTTTCACTCTCCAAAGTGGCAAAGTCAAACCGAAACTGAATGGAGGTAACTGGAAGTCGGGGTTACAATAACTTTTACTATGTAACATTGCAATAATTATTTTTATTCCGTACAAGAAGTTTATAATCTCTACCCACGTACTTACACTACACAGTTTTTTTTAAAAATCGCTTAACATCTTCGGGACCATCGACGTACTTTAAATACGCGAACCTCGCCCGACTGAATCGGACCACAGATATGTATATTTACGCGATGGCTATACCACTCATTCAAGGCAACAATGTTAATGGAAAGATATATTACAGAAAGATCTGTATTTATGCTTTTATAGATTATTCTAAGGCGTTCGATACAGCTAGACATGATGAGCTATTTAAAATACTGGAAAGGCTAGACATAGATGGAAAAGATCTAAGAATTATCAGGAATTTGTACTGGGAAGAATGTCCAGGTCTCAAAGTAAATGGAGAAAAGATTAATAACATCAGGTATGCAGATGACACAGTTTTGATAGCAGGCTCAGAAAAGGACCTTCAGTTGCTTCCAGCTATACTGATTGTAACAGAAAGTGAATGTAAAAGATTAGTGTGAATGTAAAGAAAACAGAATGCATGGTAATATCAAAAAAAAGAAGCAAAACCTTGTTGTAATCTTATTAGCAAAGGTGAAAAGATCAAACAAGTCCAACAGTTTAAATATCTAGGAAATATGATAACATCTGCTGCCAAATGTTCCACAGAAATAAGACGGAGAATTACAATGGCTAAGGCTAGTTTCAATAAAATGAGCCCAATCCTGAAAAATAGAAAATCTCAATGAACACCAAAATGAAAGTTTTGAAATGCTATGTTTGGTCAACCCTTCCATATTGCTGTGAATGCTGGACAATCACTAAAGACAGTGAAAATAAAATAGAAGCAACAGAAATGTGGTTTCTTAGGAGACTGCTTAGAAGAGTATCGTGGAAGGAAAAGAAATCAAATGAGGTAGCACTTGGTGAAGCCCACGTGGGACGCTCAATGTTAAAAACAATCAGGAAACGACAGATGCAGTTTTTGGGACACTTAATTAGACATAAGGGTCTTGAACATCTAGCTCTCACTGGCAAAATTAAGGGCAAGCGAGGCAGGAGAAGGCCCAGAACAACACACTTGGGGAACTTAAACAAATGGGTAACAGGGAAAGATCAGTGAAACGTGGCTTTTTTTAGAGCATCCGAGCAAAGGAATGAATGGAAAACCATGATCGCCGATGTCTGTCGCAGATCTGGCACTGGATGATGATGATGATAAACTAAAATACGACAAATTGGTAGAACTAAAATTAAACATAAATTAAGAATTTTAACTGAGAATGAATCTCAAGACACTGAACTTTTAGTAATTTAGTACATGATCAGTGTGATGGTTTACTGTGTGGGATAGGGAAGAAGTTATATCGTTTCAAACGAAGTAAAAAATGCGAACTTCGTAACTAACACTGGCAAAGTCGCTTCTGGGCTCATTAACCCGATGACCCCGAGCCTGGGAGCTCTGACAGGCTGCTGGTTCACGCTAACTGAAAGTGACAGAATCGGCCGAAAAGGGACGCTGTGAAGAGAACAGTTTTGTGCTGCACTGCATGCAGATGACACAGTTTTGATTGCAGGCTCTCTGCTCTCTGGACAAACTGCACCTGGCCTTTATGTTTTCTCAGCACTTTTCATTTGACCCGTACTCTCTAAAAGTAACTACATTGTCTGTTAACTGAACTACATGGGTGCTGGGTAAAAGCTTTATATTGTCATATAATATGTGTACAAAAAATGTCTTTAAGACTGTTGTATTGTAATCAGAGGGCTACAGTTTACTGAACATTTCAACTTTCTATTATTAATTTTTCTTCTTTTGCGATTGTTTTACTTAAGACAAAATAATAACATAGAAATGGCTGTGAAAAATAATTTTTTGGAAAACTGCAATCTATTTTTTAAATAATTAAACCGATAGTTATCTATTGCCGTCTCATTCTTTTTTATACATTTTGATGTTGACTACAGTTTGTGATGATGAAGGTTAAATTAAATCGACTGTTTCTATTTGTATTATTTCAGACATCATCTTTGCCGGTCGTGTTCTGAAACCAGATGCAGTGCTCTCAAAAATGTCCATCCACCACTTATCTACTGTGTATGTTGTACCCAAATTTTCAAATGTGAAGAGTGGTCAGAAAGGTAAAAAAAAAAAAAACCATAGTCAACTGGTAATGAATGTTTGTCTTGATTGCTGCAGCCAGCTTTAGCTTTAATAGCCTATCTACCAAAATATAGAATATTGATATTCAGTCATTGCATTTTTTTCATAGGCTCTCTTGAAATTGAAAACGTCTTCAGGATGGATGTGATTTTATCAAAAAATGGGAATATCTTGGATTGTTTTGTGTATTGGGGAGGGGGGGGGGGAAAGGGGGAAGACGAGGGGGGGGGGCAATAGAGTTTTATGGAATAACCACTTTCTGGTGGATAAATGTCGTATGTACTTGGTGTCTCCAATTCTCTTCAGTGTGCTCAAAAACTTTATCTTGTACTTTTGTTTATTTTTGTACTTCATGCATCTTTTTTATTCTGGGCTCCTGCCTGCTACTGTTAGATGAGGTTGTTACTGGCCCTTCCAAAAGTGAGGTCACCATGGCGATGCAATCGGCTTTGCTGAATTTGGAATACAGAAATATTGTAAGTACTTAGCTTCATTTTAGCTTACAATGACATCATGAAATATTTTTTGAAAATGCATTTTAAAATCACAGAAAAGTTTGCTGCATGTTGAATGTTGTAAATCCCCTAACTCTGAATGGTTTTACTTTGTTCACTCTATTGTCTGCATCTCTAAGATGAGATTTGAAAAATATGCTTCTCTGGAGTTTACATTGTTAAAAAAGATTTTTCCTATTTTTCCTAGTCTCCTCAATTATTCACCTTATTATTCTTATTGACTGTTTTAGGATTTAGGACGTCTTGTGTGAAAAAAAATACTTTGACATCATTATTCTGGGTCCTCAGGTGGAACGCATGCTATCAGACCCAGACTCTGTAGAAAATATCATTGCAACCACCCCGGGATTGGACAAAGACCCTGCAGTTTTGGGTAACTTTGATTTATAAGTTGCAAAAAAGAGTTGAGATCTATTTATTTTTTCAGCTTCATCAAAATGTCTAATTCTATTGGTAATTGTGATAAAAAAGTGATGATTACTGGTACTGAACTTGTTCAAGGCTATAAACAATTGAATTTGAGTCTTGTTTCGCTGACAATCAGGAGTTACGAAGGAGCTGGCAATGATGTTTGTTTGATACTTTAATTAACATTTACATTTAACACTCTAGAGGCTTGAACTTCATTTTCTTTTCTTTTTTTGTTTACTTTCAGAGTAAAAAATGAAAATGAACATATGTAGGGATGTTATCTATTGGGTTTTGTCAATTGAAGATAAAACAATGTCACATAACAGAATCTCATCTGAATGAAATACAAAAACCAAGACTAATGGAACTGATAGTAAGTATAAATCCAAGTTGAAACCAATATCATGAAGACTAAAAAGGTAAATGTCTGTCATTGTGGTGAAAGCGGGCACTCGTCAAAATAATGAAATAGAAGAAATCAACATTTTTTCACCCGTTTGACAATTTTATTGTTTTTGTTTTGGGCTGAACGCTTGTTTGTCCACTCTAAGACACATTCCTGCATCGGTTTCACTGAAAAACGTTAATCAAAGGTATAAAAATTGTAAATTTGTAGTTTCCAAGGACACTACAGCTTTGGAAGTCACCAAACTTTGGCGGCCGTTTTCTCACTGATTTTGTCTCTGAAACCAGGTGACCCCAACCTCCTTCAATCCCAAATATCTTGACTTTATAATCGAGATAAATATTAATTTTTTTTTCTTTCACCAAAATCAAAGCGAATGAACGGGCTTTAAGATTATACCAATACCTCTATATATAACCCAATAATCAACGAGCAATTCCACTGTCATGTAGGGATGAGCAGGTACCGGTACCTGAAACTCTCGGTTCTACCGAAGGAGGTGTCTGGTAAGGAGCTGACAGTACCAGCTCTGGTAAGGAGCCGACACCAACAGTTTTTTTTTACGGAGCCATGAGAAATGTGCAGTCTGTGAACTTAAACCGAGGCCTAGCAGCTGTTTTGTCAGGTGCACAACGCAGCTGGTGACCTTGATACATGGCTTCAGATTCAAAATTGACTGTGAAAAACGAAGTTTGCTTATATTTAAATGTGACTTCAAATCAGGTTCCTCGCGAGCCACTTTTGGTTTATTTTGATGCGCTGATTCCAAAAATGAAATCAATTTTTAGCGGCGCTGCAATAATTATTTTTAAAATTTTGCATGCAAAGTGAAATCTCGTTCGGCGGCAAACTTCAAAGGTAGTTTGCGTCCCAGTTCGCCTCTCCAATTCTGACTTGTGTGTGTAGGGGGGGATGCGGGCCGCGCTGATCATGGCGTTAGAGGCAAGACACGTAGTCTGTGACGTCACCTCCTGGTGTCACTCCCAGTACCAGTACTGGCGATTCTCGGTGCCAAGAAAGTACCGACTCTGGGTTTCACTGGTACCACCAAGCACTAATGCCATGACACAAATAGGGCTCTTTTAATTTTTAATTCTGCTAGGCAAATACATTTCAAAAGTCTTATTAAATGGCACAGAAATCATATCGTTTACAAAATTGTCTCTGCTGTTCCAGCAATGCTTCAAAAGCCTGAGCTTGTTGCCATTCTGGCTCACCCACAAAACATGGACAGGTGAGAGTGAATTTTCTTTACTACTTTTGGACTTTATGGTTCTCTCTCTCTCTCTCTCTCTCTCTCTCTCTCTCTCTCTCTCTCTCTCTCTTCCACGCTCTCTCTGTGTCCCTCTCTCTCTCTCTCTCTCTCTCTCTACTCTTAAATTGTTATACATATTAAATTGGATCTTTGAAAAGTTGATCTGGTTTATCTTAAGGAGTGGTTGCTGGTCTTAGGTCAGGTCACTGCTCCTAAAATTCTATTTGTACTTTCTGTTTTTTGGGGGGGAATAATGGCAATTGTCCTTTTGACACTTTGTGCGCTTATGTTCATAAGCTGCATTTAGCCCCTCCTGTTTTCTAACCATCTACTTTTTCAGTTTGTCTTATCTTCAGTTCAAACCTATCATCAAATCTACTTTGGTTTCTGTGTATTTCCTGCCTTGCTTTGGTCCCTTTTCAGATGTTCTCTCGACTGTGTATCTTCTCTTAGACCAAATGGGAGGGGGGGGGGGGCTCTCATTGTTACGGTGGTCACCTCTCATTCAATAGGTCCTGGGTTAGAAACCCGATTTCGACAGAAAATTTTCTTCTCCAAATTGTTTTCCTTTCACCTCCTTTCCTGCTCTCTAACCATATTCTGTTGTCTGCAGGGTTCCCGCGGCCTCCTTGAATTCAAGGAGTCCTTGAAAACTGCTTGAATTTACATTCAAGGAAAAATCTCCTTGAAAACTCCTTGAATTTTGCCAGATCGGACAGGAACACGTGTACAGGGTGACTGCCAGGCCCCGGGAATCCCGGGGGGGGGGGGGGGGGGGGGGGAGGTTGAAGGCAACACCGTATGACAAAAAACTGAACTTGGAAGTTGGTAGATCTCTAGATCTTCTCTCTGCAAAGGGCGCGTTGGTGCACAGTCCTTGTGTGGAATCGGGATCCATCATACTCAAACCGTCTAAGCCGTGTTCTTTTTACTAAAGGGTTCCCGTTTCATTGCGTAGGTGATAGTAAATTATATGTATTGTATATTTTAGCTTTCTGTTCAAGATTCGCAGATTTTCAGTGTCACTGCATCTTGCCCTCCGACAGTTCTTACGCCTCTCGCTCTGAATAGGTCTACTTGAGCCATTCATGATATTACCCTACTTTGAGCTAGAGTAATAATTTTTGTCTTTCACGTTTATTATATAAACCTTGACACCCTGACTGGTTTTTGACAGTGGATATTCTGGTTCTAGTCCTTTTCTCAGGCTCAAAGCAAGATTCATTTTTATATAGTTTATATTTAAAGCGAATATGATGAGGGGAAAATATAAATAAGTGAGAACAGACTGAAAAGCCTAAGTCACAGTGTCCCAGTGCCACACTGACATCATGTTGTTGACTGGATTCAATGTACCTACATGCGTGTGTGTGTGTATATTATATATAATATATAAATGGAGCGTGCACTGTCGTTGTTATGTAACATGCCCCTGGAGAATGGATGAGGAGACCCCCCCCCCCCCTTGAAAATTGAGAAGCCGGGTTGGCAGTCACCCTGGGAACAGTTTTTCTTGGAATATCGAAACTATGAATATATGATTCCTTTCGGACAAGTGTTGTTTTTTTTTAAATAGGCTTCGTCATGAATTTCTTGACCAAATCTCCTTGAATTTTAAAAATTTATCCTTGAAACCTCCTTGAAAACTCCTTGAATTTGATGGGAAGTTCATGGCAGGAACCCTGTGTCTGCTTTTGTCACCACTATCTCTCCTCCCCCCCCCCCCCCCCCCCCCCCCTTCCGGGCTCCTGACTGTTTCTGCTGGGCAAAATGCAAAAATTAATCCCTACCAAACTGAACCTGTTTAATTGTCCTGCACGCTTTTATATAACCTTATGCAGTTGCGAGCACCGTAAGACGAAACAAAAATATGAAACTAATGTGCTTTTGTAACTTTTTAGCACTTATTTTGCTTTTCAACAGTCTTTTACAGCTTCATCCATCCTTTGCTCAAGCTGCTGTTACTATTGCAACAGCAGTAAACGAGGAAGCACCAAAATCAGGAATATCAGCTTCTGGAGGTACCGTAAGCCAATTTAATTGTTAGGAAATTTTTGGGTTCTGAGGTGCATTGTAAGAAACCCCCATGGCCTCAAAGAAATTTTGAAGATAACTTGATAATGTCTGGAGAGAATTCTCCTGCTGTCAAATTGACAGATAGTGTGAAGACTTAAAGCATGCTGTCATTTTTGTAGTTTATGAAGTGGTAAAATCATATTTCCACTCCTTAAACCACGAGGAGATTGGTCTTATAGATGTAACTCAATAGAATGACCAAACACAAAATAAGAATAGACATCTGCTTTCCTCTTGAAAAAAAAAAAAGAATGGTGATCTGAACATATAACTTAAATTGTATGGATTTAATTTAACATATTCATACAAGGTATCTGATCCCATACAATCGGCGGATTCCAAGTAGTGTCCTTTTAGAAATTTTGATTTATAATAATATTGCTCCATTTATTATTTTAATATTATTTTATTATTTTACTCAAATCAATTCTATTGTTAGTATTATTGTTTTTTATATTGATGTTATGGCCATGTTTCTTCTTCTTCTTCTTCTTCTTCTTCTTCTTCTTCTTCTTCTTCTTCTTTTTCTCATTATCGATATTTGTATTATGATAATCGTTAGCATTATTTATTTATTTATTTATTTATTTATTTATTATTTATGTATTTATTTAATTGATGGGGTTGTTGTTTTTTTCTTAATTATCATTAATACTGCCCTTTATCCATAAACGTGTTATCGATAAAAATAGACGGTAACATAAATGATGACACTATAAGGGGGGGGGGGGGGGTTGAGGAGGGGAGGCAATTACAGCGAATTATAGGCGATTTCCAGGTTGAGAACCAATGATATGGGGTACATAGAAGCGGAACCAATTACCGAATACAGAAAAAAGAGGCTAAAACAGCACCTGGACATGGATGGCTGGTGCCTCTATAAATAAATCATTGATGGTCAGGTCAGGTCAGGAAGTGGTAAAATGTTAATGAACTTGAAACCAGCTTCAGTGTCATTTTCCTTGTTATGGTATGGGTTTGAGGCCCCTGTGAACACTGTACAATTTTGTAAAAGGTAGGACCGCCAAATTACATGTCCGCCTCTGATAGGACAAAGCCAAGTGGGTGGAGGACTTAGAAAACTTCCCAAGTTGAAGGTCTACAGAAGATTCGAACCAGGGGCATCTTCTCCTGAGGCCAGCATGATAGGCCTACCTATTTGTCTGCAAGTGCATCCTATTTTTCTTAAAGATTATAACAATACTAAATGTATTGTATGTAATTTATTGTGTGTCACTATCTTCCTATGATATAATACATGTATTTTTTCCTGTAATTTATTGTGTTTCTCTATATATACCTGTAAGAAAATGTATGTTTCTATGTAATATGTTTCTATATCTTTTAACATTATGTGTGTTCTTATCGCCATGTGATAAAATCATACGTTTTTATCTCCTGTACTATAATGTGTATGTGGATGGTTGGCGGGTGCTCTAGTGTGGTGTGCTTCTTCTTTCCTATGAAACATCTATCGTCTTTATCTCCCCTCCAGCGGGTGGTTGGCGGGTGCTCTGGTGTGGTCTGCTCCTTCTTTCCTATCAAACACCTATCATCCTTATCTACCCTCCTTCTTTTTTATGTTTGTTAAGGTACTCGCTTGTAACACCTCTAATCTTCTGGCGCTCATATGACCTTACGCAGTTGCGAGCGCCGAAAAACCTCTACTAAAACATACTGTCTCCCCTCCTGGGGGCTCTCGTGGCCTAGAGGTTAAGGTGTTGGCCTCTCATTCAAAGGTCCCGGGTTCAAATCCGGGTAGCGACCGAAAAATTTTCTTCTCATAAAATTGTCTCCTTTCACCTCCTTTCCTAGCAATGTTCTGTTGTCTGCTTTCAATTCCACTTTCTGCCCTCACCCCATCACCTCCTTTGCCCCCTCTTCTGGGCTCCTGACTCTTTCTGCAGCCTTTCTACTGCTACTCCTTGGCTCCTCCTTACTGCTGTCTTTCTGCCACACCCCTGATCTTCTGGTAGGAAAGATCTACACCTAGCCTTCTCGGACAAGGGCGAAAAATCTCGGAGGGCCCGTGTGCAAGTTACGCACGTTAAAGATCCCTTGGTGGTCTAAAATCGATAAGAGCAAGTTTCGGCCGCCACCCGGGCAAAATTCAAAATTTCCTACCAACTGAAAATACTAGGTGTGTCCCGCGCGCTCATATGACCTATGCAGTTGCGAGCGTCGTAAAACACTTTACAAAAACAAAAATATCTCCCCTCCTTCTTTTTTGTGTTTGTTACTCTCTTGTCACACCTCTAATCTTCGGCACTTATATGACCTTATTGTGTTGCAAGTGCCGGAAAAGTCTTACTAAAAATAATAAAATAATAATGTGTATTTCTAAATTTTCATGTAATACAATTGGCGTTTCGATCTGCATGTGTTTCAGGTGTGTCATACTCCATGGACCAGATGTCGGATGAGGATGAGGACATGTCAGAAGTAAAAAAATATTTCTACTTACTTGTTTTTTCGCTTATTTATTATTTTTACTCTTTATGTTATGGCTTTGGGTCAAAGGTACACTTTTATTACTTCAATTTATAACTATAAAAACAAGGCTTGTTTTTCTTGTTGTGTAAGATGTTCACCTTATTTCTACTGTTGATTAGAAATTAAATGCAGTCTGCAGCTTACATTACTGTGGACAGTGCTTTGGGTGGGTTCAGGTTCAGGTATGTTACATTTTTTAAATTTTATCAAGTACATCAGTAAAGAGTAAGACATATGCTTATTGTCCTGGTATTAATCCTGGCTTGTGTTGAAAAGAGAATTGTTTTTGTTTTGTTTTCAAAATTTCTATTTCATATGGTTTAGTGGAGTGGGAGGGAATTTGTTCATTTTCTTGGGATTTTTTTATTTCTTAAAGTTCTTGTGTGTATTTGTAACATTGTATGGCAGGTTAAAGTAATGTTTGTAATGTTTTCATGATGTTTAGCAACACCTTTATTCTCATACAAGAGCTCCCCTGCAGGGGATATGGCCCTATAGTTTTAGTAGAATGGGGAAACGAAGAATTGCAATGTCCATGACACTGCGTGTCATAAAAGGCAACTAAAAGTGCGTAGTCTGGTCTCCTGAAAACAACAAACAGGTTAAACTTGTCTCGGATCTTGGGAGAAGGAGGAGTTTCTACACCATCAGGGCTGATGAAGGACATAGAACAAAGCCGAAAGTACTACTGACCCGAAACCTCCTTTAAACAAATCTCCCCGATTGTGTCATGGAATATTTGCACCATTGAAGCAGGAAAGAATGCTCAAGTGCCACAAGAGATGAGGAGATACAGGGCTGCACATACTAGGAGTCGGCGAAACCCACTGGATACAGTCTGGACAGACGCAGCTCAGCTCAGGGGAGCAAATATTGTATTCTGGTAGCGAAAACAAGTGTCATGCTGAAAGAGTTGCAATATTGAGTAAGTATTCCAGAAATCCCACTGTGGATTCGTTTGCCACAAGGAACAGCAGCATCAACATGAATGTTTTCATATCTGCACCCCAAACAAATTTTTCTTGGGATAAAGACAAGGATGCTTTTAACTGCCTACCCCAGAAGGTCATTGACAAACTACCAAGAAAGGATATCAATGTCATAATGGGAGACTCCAATGCAAAGATAGGCCAGGACAACTGAAGTTATGAGGGCATTATGGAGTAAAATGGCTTGGGACAAATGAACAAGAATGGTGAGTGATTTGTTTACATGTGTGCTTTCAACAGTTTTGTTATGAGATATTCTGTTTTTTCACTCAAGAGGATCCACATGGCTACATGGGTTTAACCAAATGGAGTGCCTGACAAACAGATTGATCATTTCTGTAGTTCTCATCAGCTCAGACATTCACTGGAGGATATTACAGTACATGGAAGGGCAGACATTGGATCAGATCGTCATCTGCTACAAGCAAAACTCAAGCTTCACCTGAGATTAGCACAGAACCAGAACTGGAACTGAGAGAATGAAGTTCCAAAGTAGCCTACTTGACAGAGACAAGAAAGAAGAGTTCCAGCAACAGTTGAGGGACAGGTCTCAACCTCTGGCTGATCTTGGTGGAGAGGACATGGAGATGGAGGCACACTGAGCCATGGCCAAAGAGGTCTTTACTTCAACATGTGTAGAAGTACTCAGTGAGAAGACGTGGGAACATATGGAATGGATTAGTTTTCTCTGGTTTTGATTGGGAAAAGAAGACAACTAAAGGCAGAAGTGATCGCTAGTCGAACAAGAGAATCAAGGGCGGATGCACCAGAACCGTACAGAACAAAAGCTAAGGATATCAAGAGATCGCCACAATAAACCAGGAGGATTTCATAAACAGGTTGGCCGAAAGGGCAGAGGAAGCAGCAGCGGGCACATGAGAGTGCTTTACCAGACCAAAAAGAATCTTTCTAAAAAACATGGGAAACCAAAGGTACTGTTAAAGAACCAAGGTGGTAAAACAATTTTTGGAGAGGAAGCTCAGTCGAAACAATTCGTAGAACTTGTCAACAGCCTCCTGAGCAGATCATCACCAAGTAACCCACCAAACATCCTGCCAGCAAAAAGTGAGTTACCAATATTCTGGGATGCTCCTTCAAAATAAGCGATTCTGGATGCCATAAACAAGCTGGACAGAGGCAAAGCAGCTGGTCCTGAGGCCCTAAAGACAGATGTCAGTGTCATGACAGACCTCCTTGTCCCACTGCTCAGCAGGATCTGGAATATGGGCAAGTTCCTAAAAGGTTGGAAAGAAGAGCTCCTTGTCAACCTTCTGTAAAAAGGGATCTCAACAACTGCAGCAAATGCAGAGAAATTACTCTTCTCTTGATACCAGGTAAGGTCTTCAACCGAATCATGCTAGGATGACTCAAGACTGCAACAGACCAAGACTTTGAGATGAACAGGTTGTTTTTGTGGCATACTGGTCCACCACCGACCAGACTGACACTCTAAAGATCATAATGGAACAGGCCCTAGAGTGGAACTCTGTTGATTGTCAACTGCCTTGACTATGAGAAGGCCTTTGACAGCAAAGACTAAGCAACACTGTTGAAATCACTAAGACATCATGGAATCCCGCTGGAGTTGGTGAACCTCAGCAAGAGCATGTACGAAGGAACAAGTTGCAGGGTTGTAAATGACTAGTGTGGAACAGGGATGTTTGTTGTTTGTCTTCGCTTTCTTTTTAAGGGGGTGTAGCTATGGTCAACACCCAAATGCTATAGTTTTTGGTCTAACGCTTGCTTTTCTGCATCAAAGGGGATGACATAGTACAAAAAAAGGTTACCAAGCAAAAAATTCAAGATTTTAGCAATGATAATCTCGAGCCATCAAAAATAAAGGATTGATTCAGCATTTTTAAAACCAATTTTATATTTTGTCAATCATCAACATGCTTCAAGATAGAAGCCTAATATTTGGCATGGCGATTACTGTTGGTAGGTAGAACAACCTTACAGAGCCAAATTTGAAATTTTTGTACTGACTTGTGAGCCTTACAGTCCGTGTTATGCACTACATTCAGGTCTCCAATATTTTCAGATTTTGTTAAATAAAAAAGGCCTAAAATTTCAAAGGTGTACCATAAAAAGAAAAATGCTACTGTAAGGTTATAGAGAAATGTGCATAAAAGATTGTGTGCAAATTTGAAACAATTCTGACAGTAACTTTCTGAGATCTACTCAAAATAGTGTTGCAACCTGGTCAGATAAACAATTCTGAGAAAACTGCAAAGAGAGATAATTTTTGGTGAAGATTTTCCTACATTGCTACCTTTCTCAAATGCATTTTCCAGCTATTTCTAAGTTTGATAAGGAATTAGGCTTCTAAAGATGGATCCTTGATATTGATATCTATAAGATACTCCAAAATCCTAAAACTGATATTTTTTTCAAAATTTTTACTGATCTGACCAGTGGATCCCCTTAAGCTTTTTTGTTTGTTACCACCTTTCCTTTTAATCTTTCCAACCAATTGGCTGATGAAGGAAACCACCAAGAGATGCGGAAACAGCATTCAGGGGACCACATAGACACAGCTGGATGATGTGGGCTTGATTAACCAATGACTTTGCATTTGTTGCAAACCCAGGAACAGATGCAAGCAGACTTCAGTTTAAACCGTCTGTCGCAACCTGTGTTGCATTGAGGATCCTCCCCTGAAATTCAAGAGATAGACACACGACAAAAAGAGCAAATCTCAACAGAAAGAAATGCACTAGAGGACATTGGTTCCTTCTGCTGTCATGGGAATATAATTACTGAGAGGGAGGAAGAGGAGCTGAAATTAAGTCCTGCATCAGAAAAGCTCACGCTGCTTTCCCATCTTTGAACAGAATTTGCAGGGTCAGGAATAGCCAACTCCAAATAAAGCTGAGGATTTTTTTACTCAAATGTGAAGTCAGTCTTGTTGTATAGGTGTGACACATCTCAGACTTGTCTAGAGAGGACCCAGGTTTTCTTTGTCTTCAAGTGTTAAGAAAATTACTCCAGATCAGATGGACAGACAGGGTCACCAGGGAAGAAGTATTATGTATTAAGGAGAACAAGACAGTCCAGTTTGAGATGAAGTAGTGATGGACTGAAAATGTTTTCAAGAAGCCAGGTAACTGCATAACAAAGAAATTGTTGAAGTGGAATCTCTAGGGTAAGAGATCAAGGGGACGCCTTGGTTGAACCTGGAGAAGAGTTGCAGAGAATGATGAACGCAGAAGTGGAGAGACACAGAAGAATGCCAGGAAGCTAGCCAAAGATACGGAAAAGTGGAAAGTGTTTGTCGGTGGCCTATACCCTGATCCAAGGGTAACAAAGGCGATGATGATGATGTCAAGATCTTGGGTTTTGATGCTACAGGTACAAGCAAACAGAGGTAGAAGGCAAGTACCCCATGGAGCTTCTGGGAGTCAAAATATCACAGCGTCCCAACTGGCAGCAGCACTTCAGGCAGCCACAGGGTCAGGCAGTTCTGGCACCTCACCTCCAGTGGCAGTGGTACCATCAACTTCCCAACAGGTTAGTCTTGGCTGCTTCAGCAGCGTATGAAAATTTCAAAATTTGACCCCAGACATTCCCCTGTGTATGTTAATTGCATTTATGTATGGTGACCTTAGTTTATGCCTATGAAATATTTGTGTTTGAAAAGATACCTCACATTTCACATCTCCATTGTAAAATTGTGGTTTTTGTGTTTTGCCTTGATTTGACTCTTTATAGCTGCCGTGTCATAGTTCTCTTTTGCTCAGCCTACAGGTCTAATTATGCAAAAATGATGTTAATTTCAAATCTTTCTTCAAAAAAATTTGTGTTTCTCACATTACTTATTTTCTTCTTATCGTACTGCTAGTAACTTAATTGTGAGAAGATTGTTCACTGTGCTCACAAATTTGTTTTGTAGAATGTCACACACACCTATGATACCAAAATACCTTTTGTATTTATAAATGTATTGTTCTGCACAAAGGAAAAATTTATGGAGACAAAGATTTAATTTTCACTATAAAGTCAAACCTACAACAGCCATTTCCCATTCCTCCCTTACATAATTTTTGTACATTATAATTGCACTGTGTGAGACAGCCACCTGTCTAAGACAGCCACTTTTCTCCACAACAATAGGTGGCCTTCTTAGACAGTTTGACTGTCCAGTTTTCCCCCCATTTCTTGCCCAGGCAAGCATGTTGAATGTATCACGTTAAATCCTTTTTAAGTCTATGTATTTTTTGCTTGGTATATTTCAGCCCGGTCCTTCAGGGAGTGGCACAGCAATCTCCAGTGACTTTTTCCAGCAAGCCATGGCTCATGCTCAGAGTGCTTCTTCTGATGTGAGCAACATGTGTTTTTTTAGCATGCAGGTCATGTGTGTATGTTCTCAACAAATCAGTTGGGTTGTTTTTTTTCTGTTTGTTTGGTGTTTTTTTGTGTGTGTGTTGTTATCTCCCTAATACTGTGGCCATTTTTATCAGTTGGTGCTGATCGATATGGTGAGGATATGCTCTTTCTGGTCTTTTGGTATACTATTAATATTATTTTGTCGGCTAATAACAAAAAGAAACTGTCCAAATTCCCTTTCCAGAGAAAAAATGTATTTTTATGCAAACAATAAACACTTGGGCATAAACACATTGAGAATAGCAGTGGTAACAAAACTACAGAGCAGATTGGTTTGACATTATCAGACATGATAGAATGTTCTTTGAATGCTTTGATTTTGCTATTTTTGGTTTTCGGGTCAGAATGAACAACGTCGCTTCTGACTTTCTATGGACGATGGTTTTTAACTGACCCTCCCCTTTCCTTTTCCAGGCTGCCCTCCAACAGCTGCGTGAGATGGGCATCACAGACGAGAACGTGGCTCGTCAGGCCTTGGCTGCTACAGGAGGGGACATCCAAGCGGCCATTGACCTTATCTTTGGGGATGGACTAATGTAGTCGCCCTCACAAATTTGTCACGAGTTCATAATGTATGCTTTAATTAATTTTTATTTTCATGAAGCTAATAAAAGTGTTTTATGGTGTTTATCTGTGCATCTTCAGCGTTATTTTTTTTCTTTGCTGAAGTTTTTTAAATACCGTCTGGGAAACGTCTCTCAGCTTTACCTTTCAAATTTTGTCTACAGTTAAAGCTATGTTTTTATCTAATTTTTTAAAGGATCATACTGGTTTCATTATATTCGAAAAAATTGGATGAAATCTGAGAACTCTCAAATTTTTTTAAAAAGCAAAGATATGCTTGAATATTGTTCTGAAAGTTTAAAAATTGGTCCCCTTGGTAGTGTGCATTTTTGCTAATGTTGGTTACATAAATACCAATTCCAGGTGGGATTCAGTGTTTGATATAATATAAGCTGTTTTCTGGAATGACTTGAACTGGTGAGGGCGCTCCGTTTGCTCATTCAGTATCATGCTGGACTACACAGTGGGTGGCCTTGGTTAGAATCACAGACTGGGTGTTCTTGAACTCAGGTTGTTTTTTAATGGAGCTTTTAAGGCTCTCGGCCAATATAGCTCAATCCCATTGGAGGCGGATGTTGAATTCTAAGGTCCTGCCTCTTGAATAACCTAATAGTGCCGATAGGTGTGTCAAACCCATACACTCACACTTCTTAAATTGGTGCACAGTCAAACATTTTACATCATAGACAACAGTAACTCAAAACTGATCTTTTTCTTACAGAAAAATGTGACTATTATGTTTTGGCATCCCAGTCAAAATTAGGCCTGCCATTGGTTCCAATGTTTCACTTGAGGACAGTTCTTGGACCTCCCTAGTGAGATATGAACATAAGTGTGAACAGCCTTGGCAACCGAGCTGTAAGGGGAAAATCCTTGGTCATTTTTTCCTTTCTTTTCCTTCCGAATTCCCCCAAGATCTCGGGTGTATTCGATTGCACATCTTTTACCTCCAGTGTCACTTAAGTATCTCTGATTTTCCTCCTTAACTTTCGAGTACTCGTTATTTTATGTAATCGTAAGCAGTGAGATGGGCTCGAGAGGAACTTTTCTGAAATTCTACTTTAGCAAGCAACCTGTACTCCTGGACAGCCTTGCTCCTCACTGACTTTCAAGGGTCTGGTTTTCTTCCACATGTATACTGTGTGCACTGGGTCACAGTTTTCCATTGTGGATGGACGGCAGGTGCTCTGATGTGATTTTTTTTCTTTTTTTTCTATTTAAACAACTATCGTCCTTATTTCTCCTCCTCTTTTGTGTTAGTTACTCTCTTGTAACACCTCTAATCTTCGGCACTTTTAAGACCCGATTGTGTTGCAAGTGCTGTAAAACTCGTACTATAATTTTTTTTTTAGGTTTTCATTCCTTGTGGGTTTTTTACCCATTGGAAACTTCCAGGATAATTAAAATTCATTCACTGACTGTTGATTCATGTCGCATGGGACAGCTGAGCAAAGGGTTCAGCATTTCAGGACATTTGATTGAAACTATGCATTATGACAAAATTGATTCAAACATCTTGTGGGAGTTGACTTGTCTAAGTGCAATTCATTAAATTAAAAAGCGGACTAGGTCCTTGAATGATCTGATTCCATTGCACAAACATAACGAAGTTTACTATTATTCTTTTCTCTTTACAGAAAACAGTTATATTAAAAAAAAAACATTTCTGCAGATCAAATTGTTTACAAATATTTATTTTTATCACCAACAAAAAAATGACGTAACATAAATGCCATATTCGCTTGAAAAAGACTGTTTAACTGTCAAATGCTTTTCCTGTAAAATAAGTAATCACCAAATAAAAATAGCTAAAGTTGAATGATCTACAGTGTAACTCACACAAAGCAAGACAGGCACATGGCGAATAAAATTTCAGGTCCTCAATTTGTTTCTATATTTGATGTATATAGATCTATATATTCTTGTATTTAAAACACATACATAAACAAAAAATGTTCTATGTCCCCCTGATTTTTAATGCTATGTGCATGCTAGACAAATATACATTTTTCATTCCTAAACTAAAATGTAATAAAATGATACATTGTTCTCTGTTCGAACAGCAGCTACATGAATATTTCCATGTCTAGGAATTTTCAGGACAAAATCCAATCTTTCTTCTGTTTCTCAAATGTCTACATCTACACTTTAAAAGAGTATAATTCTGTATGTAATAAAACAGTATTCATAATTTACAACTTATCAATTTATCATGTTTCAATATTAACATAGATTAGTTAGTTACATGCTTGAGCGTGCAAAACTGGGTATCAACTAAGGCACACCTCACTTGACAGATAGATTTATGTTACAATCCCATTTTCTAAATATTAAATTTTAAAATATGTGAAAAAATTCAATGAAAGGCAAAAACAACACTAATCTTTGCATTATTTCTAGTGGCATTCAATGCTATTTCCCCTGAGTAAGTTCTTGAAATGATATCTCGCATTTAAACAAACTGTGGAGGGGAAACAAATATGTTGATGACCAACATTTCTTGTCAAATATTTACGATGTAATATCTAGTACATTATTGAAATGCAGTTCTGTCATGCTCCATATACCTCCTGATCATGAAGCATATTTATACATTGTATTACCACATAAGCCTGAATGCATTTCTTGTGTGATTAAATTATGTTCCACTTTCTAAGCTGCGCTCTTTCGCAAAAAAAAAGGTAAAACTTATCTACAAAGAGTCAAGTCTTTAGGTTAGGCAGTCATTTCTGCACTGAGACATTGTCAAAGGGTGTTTTTTTTTCACTATAGTGGTGTGTAATAAAAAAAATGTACTGGTACAAAAAAGCATCCTGAGAGACTCAAAATCTTAAGAACGGTGAGAAATAACTCCACCAATTTTTAAAGACTTTCTTAACAGTCTTGAGTCAAAGCACACTGTGAAAGTAGTGGAGAGTCCAGTCATGTTGTAAAAATAATCAGTTCCATCAATCCATGAAAATCCAGTTCCCAGGTCACTGAGTTCATGAAATCTCTTCTTTTGGTATCGGTATCTCTCGAAAATCTAGCAAATAAATTACTCACAGCATAACTAACATCACACACTCTCAAGTAATGGAAAAACTCAATGATTACATACTTACATGTGCACCTAAACTGATAAGGCACTTTCAGCACTGGCTCTGAACATATCATTTCTGTATGGTCTTGACGTCAGCCAGACTATTTCTTACATAGGTAGGCCTACAGTCAAATCTTGTTATGCCTCCAACGTTGGGATCAGCAAGAAAAATGTCTTTGATGGTGAATTATAAGTATTTAGAGGTGACAGTTTTCAGTTTTCACTTTCTCTCTCATGTGTAGGCCTACGGCCTACAAAGTTTTCAAAATGTCACATGTTCCTCAAAACTGCAAATATATGAATCTTAGTAAAAGAGAAGAGTTCAGTCCTTAACATTGTCTCCGTTTCAACTGGTAACATTATGACAGCTGCTCCCCAGGAAGTTGGGGACAAAAAGATACCATGTAAAATGAAAAAAACATGCATATTAATTGCATTGGAGTGTGAACAGGAAGTTAGTAATATAACAAAAAACATGTATCAACAATTTTTATCACAAATTGAAATATATATACACAGAATGCAACAACCTTTTAAGCTCAGCAAAGAACTTAGGTGGGGGGGTATCCCAAGCACCGCAATGGTTCCCAAAGAAAGGGAAAACTACTCTCTAAAATGTTGTAACAAGGTCAAAAGTTTGAAATACTTCTGAACAACAGCATTCTGAAGCTGCCATGCTGAATACACTAATATATATAACATGTACATATCAACTGCTCAGTGTAAGACTCCATAATACGCCATTTACAAAAGTGATGTACGACAGTCTTACATGGGGGATTTCGTGGTCTAGAGGTTAAGGTGTTTGCCTGTAATTCAATAGGTCACGGGTTCGAATCCGGATAGTGACTGAAAATTTTTTTCTCAGAAACTTTACTTTTCATGCCCTTTCCTGCTCTCTCACAATGTTCCATTATCTGCTTTCGTCTCCACTTTCTGCCCCCGCCCCTTCACCTCCTTTGCCCTCTTCTCTGGGTTCCCGACTCTTTCTGCAGCCTGCTGTCTTTCTGCCACACCCCTGATCTTATGGTAGGCAAGATCTACACCTAGCCCTCTCAGATAAGGGTGAAAAATCTCGGAGGTCCTGAGTGCAAGTTGCGCATGTTGGTGGTCCAAAATCGATAAGAGTAGGTTTCCGCCACCACGCGAGCAAAATTCACAAGTTCCTGCCAACTGAAAATGTTTAATAAGTCCCGCGTGCTCATACGCATTTGACCTCATACAGTTGCGAGTGCCATAAAACTCCCCCCCCCCCCCCCCCCCAAAGTCTTACACTGAGCAGTCGATATATATATTATATAATAATAATGTATAATACAGTAGCCTCCACCTCGACACGTGGTGCTCAGGATGCCTCCTAAGTGTGCGGTTTTTTTACCGTTTACGTGAGCCTGTGCAAAGGAGGAAAGGGACGCAGCTATCTCATTTCCTTGATATTTTTGTGACCTCCCTTTACGCTTCAGCCAAAAATGCAACGAAACATGACTGAATTTATTAAAAAAGCATTCCCCAATCATATTTATGGCTACAGAAGGCGTTGAACGAGTCATGAAAAAAAGCAGATAGACCCACTCGCTGTACTGACGTGCACTAACATGTCGGGAACAGATAAGAGGAAACTGTTGGTGATGGCCATAGGAAGAGTGCTCAGCCATGTGGCTTTCCTTGTGACCAGTCCTGACTGCCTGTCACCTCTTGCCACTTGGTAAATGAATGGAAGAGCGAGAGATTTTTCTCTAGTAATTTGTTGAACAAGTACTTTAAAGTTCTTTGAGCACAGTTGATCACTTGACTAGTCTTTAATCCTATAGGCCTATCTAGAGCCTTACAGCATCTATGCGTGTCTAAACATTACTGTCACCCAAACACCAGTGAGAAGCCTCTCAGACGCATTTCGAGTCACGAATCAATATAGATTTCAGTCACCACCCAAACATATCCCTCACCCAGGCCTTGACGTTCGTGTTCATGGCCAGTAGGGGGTAAAAACGCAGTACATCACTCTCTCTCTCTGTTCTGCGAGAGGGACGGTCTTGCCAAATGTCTGGTTGTCTAGACTTATCTATGCAAGCTGTGAAGGTTGTTGTAAAAATGTCCCTTTGTCAAGCTTTACCTGTCTGCGTGTTGACCTTATGCAGTTGCCAGCACTGTAAATCCTCTACTAAAACTAAAACTGTCTGTGTTTTTCTCAGATTGAAGTGTGCATTCAGAGGAAGTGACAGTGCGTTTGAACTTCTAAATTATTTGGTTTAAAAAAAACGTCACTTGACAAAAGCATGCATTTGAGCAGAGTGTGCCTTTTTGTATGGCGTGTATTTAGGTGGAGACTACTGTATATGGAAAGCTTTAGGGAACAAAACAACGTACATGTACAGTGCAAATAACATCTAAAAAGAAAAAGCAAACAATGTTCAGGCAAGCAATAGCAAGAGTCATCAACTAAGGTATTCAGATGAACCTTCAGACATTTTCGTTGTAGAAAAAGAGGGCCAAAAAAGTACCCTCCACATCACAAGTACATTTATCATAATTTATTTCCATTCTGATGTCATTAAAAGAGAATGACTTGTCCAAAAAGGAAGCAAACTTGCGAATTATTATCTCCAAGTACTCACTCGTAATAGCAAATAATAACGCCAGTAAGCAATTCTCAGGATAAGAAAAGTATAACCAATTGAAAGGAACAGCCAAATGTATAATAAATTTGTAAGTTGACAATAGTGTTTGAAAATGTATGACATACTCCCTGCTCCACTGCATACACAGATCAGAGTGACATTCCGATCAAAAAGGGAAAAACAAAATTATACATATAAGAGGCTAAGAAAGGCAAGTTTTCGTCTTGAAAGCGGCAGCAATATGTTGAGGTAGCGAAATGGTCTATCATGCATAGCAGTCATATCTTATACATGTATATACAGTCAAGCATGGATATCTTGAACATTTTGGGAGTTTGCAGATGCATCAAACAAACTTAATTCAAGTAAACCGTGATAATGAAAATTAAGAGTAATAATTCAAGAAAATCAAGGGAAGTAAATGTGATGCCACGGTAGCCTATGATAGTGATAGAAAATAAATCACTACCATCATGAAAAGTACTTTGTATTGATTAAAGGATAGAAGGATGGTCGACGGTGCTCCTTGTTGGTTTTCGAAGGAAAAAGCAATGCTGATGATATTGCTCTTATGTCAAATCACAATCATTGCAAGATGATGTACATAACATTACTGGTGAGGGCACATCACCCTCGCTTCTTGCATAATCACTTCCCAGACCAGGCAATACCTACATGTTCAAACAACCAGACTAACACTTCCACTCAAACATACCTGAAATTCACCACACACACTATTCAGCCTAATGCAGCGTAACACTGTCTTTGATTATTATACCCCAACCCCCCCCCCCCCCACCATCACATGACTAGATTCGAGAAAGTTCCAGCACCTTACACACACTACAAGTAATGACAATGTGCGATAATGCATAGTAGATGAGCTCAATACCAGTAGTGTGTGTGTATCATGCTGTGTGGGGGTGAGCCTGGTGGGCTTCTATACCTGATATGATACTCTCTATCATGATGGATGTGTTCGTTATCCATTAAGCGCGATAGGCAATTTAAGACAATTTGATAGGGTTTTTTCGACATGAACTACTCCACACATCCATGCTGATGTGCATTTTTCTCAAGTTATCTGTGCTTGAGTGTAAAAAAGTAAAAATGTCTTCAATTAAGATTAACTCATGTATATAATATATATATATATATATATATATATACATACATTGTACATAAATTCCACTCAAAACTACTGCTGGCTTTATTTGCAAAATAGTCTTTTCTTGTTATTACACATACTCCAGCCAAAAAGTAGGATCAAAATGATTTCATTAAAATCAGCTCTTTACATGTAGCAATTCAAAGTTTAGTCTGGCCTAGTCAATGATACCAAAATTATAAAACAGACTTTTCATCGCATTTGTGACACCCTAATATCAAATTATTCCACACTCAATACACCTGTGCATTAACAAGAGAAAACAACAGACAGAAAATTAATAATCTATCAAAGACAAGGGAAAAAAACAAAGGCCATAAAATCCCTGAGATATGTTTTGTCCATCTTGGTCCAAGTTAGTTGAGTTACATATTCTTAAAATGCAGGTATACCTTTACAAAGAGTACACTAAAATCAAGCTGCAGATTGAGGTAGGAAAACCAATATCAAATGGTGCATGTGCAGCAAAGTCAATTCTTGCTGAAGCGACACATTTTAAAAATACTTTTACAAAGAAAAACCTCAAATTAAACATGATAATCTTTTCAGTATTCCATCTTGTCTCTGTCCAAGACACCTTTTTTATCAAGATTTCATTTTACAGAAAGTTATCAAGACAAGCTAGCATTGGTACAGCAGCGTTTCTTGCTCCATGACATTTTCATCTTTCTTCTTTTAACAATTCTTAATTTTGTGCAGAATGTTCATGATTACCTGTGCCAGACTGTAAGTATGTTTTCAATAATTCACTCTTGTTCCATTTACCCCCAAAATAATGTAAGAAACTCATGAGTGAAAAGGCCAACAAATTAAGAAAGGTGGAATGGACAACATACTTACAATATTATAAACATTTGTGTAAGTCAACAAGAAGAAATATCAGAAGTTAGAGATCTAGTTTCATCCACCTTGTACACATCGCTAAACACTAGGTCTTCCACAAGCGCAGCATCACCATTTTGAACATGATCTGACTTCTTCTCACAAGCAGCTACAGGTGCTGGGTTATTCAACTCCACTGTTACTTCTGTAGTAGTAGCAGCCCAGGGTTGAAGATCACCACTGCTAAGTAGTAGAAAAATCAAAGCTCCTATGACGTAGATCCCAGAGGACAGGAAGAAGACTGTACTCCATTCTTTTGCCGTTTGCTGAAAAGTTGTATAAAATCAATGTCAAAATGTGTCACGGCACAGTGAAATGAGGCGCCTGTTAATTTTGGGAGATTTAAAGTCTTAAAGATTGTTCACTTTTCTTTTTGATTTTTTTCATTTAAGGAAAAACTATCCATCACGTGTCAGATGTAAAATTAGTAAGAAAATTGTTTCTTTGATTTCATTATTCTGACAAACACCTTATTTCATCACAAAGCCATACAAATAGTCTTGACAGCCTTTTCCATTTTATGAACTGCCTTCAAATTGAATCAGTTTTCGTGATTTCTTATTCTAATACAAACGTCTCCACCTAAATACATTACAAGGTGCTCAGGAGGGCTCCTCAGTATGCCTCTATATGGAGCAAGCAATTAAACGAACCTGTGCAAAAGGGAGAAGGAACACAACATTATTTCTCTTATATATATCTTAGTTACTAATGTTGCCTCCCTTGGACTAGGGGGGTGGGAAGGAGGAGGGTTGCTTTCATGTGTATAGTGCATCATAGGCCTCACTAAACATTAGTCATCAAAACATCACAGAGAAACCTTCTCTCAAAGACACATTTCAAGTGACCAATCAAATGACATTTCAGTCACACCCCACACATATCACTCACCCTGTCCATCACTTTCATTTTGTTAAGTAAGAAGCAGCCTAGCCTCACCATTTAAATATCCATTGTCTAGACTTGTCCTTGTTATTGTGATCCCTGCTTTCTAGGTTGTTACCAATATCTCCCTCTGTCGAGCTTTATCTGTCAGCTTAACCCTGTCTGTATGTCGTGTTTTACTATCGTATCCATACGACGTTGGGAACTTTGTGCCACCATTTTCCAAAGAGGAAATTTACTCGTTAATCTCATACGTATGCTTTGCGTAGCAGTCTGTCAAAATGATTTTTTGAGAATTACTGAAAGTTTCAAAGAGATCTTCGCGCTAAAAGTATTCTAAAATGTGAAGAGTACAACCCCAGGGGTACTAAATGACCCCAGGGTGTACGGATAGGGTTAAATTGTTTCGAGGATCAAAGCGTGCGTTTAGATGAAGTTACTGTCCATTTGTACATCTAAATTATTAAGTAAAAACCCCATCACATCACAAAAGCGTGCATTTGAGTGGAGCAGGCCTTTCTATGGCTTGCATTTAGACAGAGACTACTGTACCTATTTAAACCAGCAGTAAAGCTTTACTTGTCTCCACTCAGCTCTATTCAGTCGCGACAATACAATGTCTAAGCAGCCACCTCCCAAGTATTCTAAATTGAGTCGATAAAGATGCAAAACAATTTCAATCACCTCTCACCTAAGATGTATACCATTGCTACATCAACACAAAGCATAACTTACCTCTTTAGTAATGTATCCAATGGCCAGAGGAGAAAGAAATCCTGGCAGTGTTGCGAAGGTGTTGGAGATGCCATATATAACACCTGCATACTTTGGAGCAATGTCCCCTGCATTCATGTATAACCCACCCCCGTACTGGAATCCTGTGAGAGCCACTCCCAAGGTCAGCAAGACCACTGCTGTAGATGATCGAGTACAGTCAACAAAACTGACCCCTAAAAGCAAAGCTGCAGGTACCAACATACCTGGGAATAAAGAAAATAATAAAGGATTTATACCCAGTTTCAAATTGAAGTTTTAGCATCTTTGTGAACGCAAGTGTGTGTGCAGACAAATAAACAAACACAAGAACCTTAACATGCAGCCATGCACACATAACCTGAAGACAGCAAACTTAAACTTACAGATAGCTCCTGCAATTTTTCAGTAGGGCTACCCAGCTGATATTTCTTTAATCGTTTCGTTATTACTTAACCCAAATTATGAATCTGCCAAACATATTTGTCAGTCCCCGAACATTTTTGAGATTTCCATGCCCAGCTTATAAAGACAAACTAGCCTACTCTTTAACTTTAACCTCAGCAAACACACATTTATATTTGACTTTGATTAGCTAAGGCAAATCATGAAAAATTATCTTTACACTAAAAACATAGCACTGCTCAAATACAGCGAGTACCTCCACAGAATGCATCACTTTTTTATACCAGTGTTTTGGCCTCAGGAAGTTCTTTGTCAGGAAATGTATGCCATGTCTGTCTGAAAATGATGTCATGAGCCTTGTTTTTCATATATCAAAGTTTGACCATCCCATTTCCAGTCCTCTTCCTCACTCATTCTTTCTCAACTCTCCTACACAAACCAAAGGATTTATGTTGCATTCTGAACTCATGAGTTTGATTCATGTGTGGGGAAGTGTATTTAATCCAGTATCTCTAACTTTTTGAAGGAATGCCGTGCACCCAACACAGCCCAGGTTCTTTAGCACAGTAACAGGCAGGCTAATGGTGGAGAAGCTCGCTTCCAAAAAGGATGTAAATTGTATTGTTGGGGCCAAAAACATAAACAATCTGTCACACACACACACACACACACACACACACACACACACACACACACACACACACACACACACACACACACACACACACACACACAGCCTCACACACACGCACATACACACACAGTGACCCACACATACACACATACACACACACAGAGTGACACACACACAGTGACACACACACAGTGACACACACACAGAGTCTCTCACACACACACACATACATTCACACACACACACATACATTCACACACACACACGACACACACATGGTCACACACACACACACACACACACACACACGACACACACACACACACACACTCACACACACACACAGATCCTAGGTACACACCTATAGAGTTGAATAACTTTCTGGTGTTAGTTGTGGAGAGAAGCCCACGAGTGCGGACCAGGTCAGCAAAACAGCTGGCCAGACTGATGACACACCAGAAACATAAGTAGGGAACTGCAGACAAAAACCCGTTCTGGAGAAAAACACAAGAGGGAGGAGGAACACAGTATGTCTCTGGATCTAATACTCAAGAGCTCCTTGTTAGAATGGAATGTATTTGTTTTAAGTAAGCATTATGATTTAGAAAAATAAGAATGATTTGAAGACAACAATTTGCTTGTGCATCAAATGACAAGTTTGTTCTTTTCTTGAATTATCTTCTATCTGATCAACAATTTCTTAAAAACACATACTCAAAAAGATGTGAATAGTAGTCCAAAAGCCTGCAAATGATGATACTTTTTTTTTTTGCATTATCAGTAAAGCAAACAAAATTTCTTGTCAACAATACAATTTGTTAATGGTATACAGAAAGATTAATTCCCCCAAAATTTGGCACGTAGCTCTTTTCCAAAGGCATACTATTTTGTAATAAGAAAGAAAAATAGTCACAACTTTTTAATTCATAAAGATATCAATATTATTTAAACTGTTTTATGATCGGGAAGCCAAGGGCTTTCAAATAAAAGTACTTCAAAGCATTCAGGGAACTTCCAATTTTTTACTTAACTATCTAGTATTAAGTTCAATATAATCTCTTTTTTTTTGTTTCAGCAATATCTCACCTTTTTAATATCAAAGTGAAGCACCTCTTTCATATATGTTGGTATATTGGTGAGAAATGTATACTCGCCCCAGTTGCTGCAGACGTGGCTTAAGATTATGGCCCACACGCGGAGTGAAAGCAGGATGGACATCCAAGGGGTCTTTAGCTTCTCCTGTCAGCACAAAGAAACAAATACTCTGTGCCAGGCATAAGTATGACTTATGTGAGGCATCGTGGGGAAATCAGGCACTCGTCAAAATAATGAAATTGAAGAAAAAGGCATTTTTCTGCCTGTTCAGTAATTTTAATATAATTTTGGGGGGTTTTATGTCCACATAAAAAGTCATTTCCATGTGACATTTATTGAAAAATGTTGATTAAAGGCACAGAATATGTAATTTTTCACTTTTCAAGCTCTCTCAAGCTATTCAAATTACCAAACTTTGGTGGATATTTTCTCACTAATTTTACCACTGGCCCCACTCCCACAAATATCTCGACTTCTATTCAAGATAGATGGTTATTTTTTTTCATTGAAAGCAAGGCACGTGAATAAGCTTTCAAATGATACCAATAACTTCACATTCCTAAAAATTGACGAGCACCAGATTCCCACGCGTTGTGACACATATTTGTGCTGTGACAATGTAGCCTAGTTTTTAAATATTTAAAATATGGTAAACTTTTAACTGCCAGAATTGGTTTCATTGGCCATAACAGAAGCCTCAAATCATCTTAATCCATATTCTCCTCTGCAGATACGTTTGTCACTCAAGTCACAGTCAGACATTGACAGACAAACTGTTATTATTATTTTATGACTTAACCAGCATGTGTCATTATAAAAATGTCAAATTAAATTAACAGACCATGTGTGTGTGTGTGTGTGTGTGTGTGTGTGTGTGCGCGTGTGTTTGTGCGTGTGTGTGTGTGTGTGTGTGTGTGTGTGTGTGTGTGTGTGTGTGTGTGTGTGTGTGTGTGAAAGAGAGATGAGAGAGAGGGAGAGAGGGTGGGGGGGGGGGGGGGGAGAGAGAGAGTGTGTGTGTGTGTGTGTGGGTGGGTGTGTGTGTGTTTTGTGTTAGTGGCAGTGTGTGTGTTGTGTTAGTGGGAGTGTGTGCGTGCATGCGCGTGAGTGTTTGTGTGCATGTATTTCACACAAACGATTGAGATTGTTGGCCTACATGCTTAATATTGAGTTTTCTGTACACAGTGAATCTGCAGATTGTGTTCACAAACAAATGATTCAGCATAAAATAAGGTTTTGAGCATACTGGCAAGGGTACCAGCTGAGTTAGCTATAAGGCTTACCTGCCTCTATCTCTCGGGTATGCTAAATAAAATGAACATAATCATTCTTCTATTTCTCAGATTTAGGTTAAATTCAGTGAACATCACACATTTATATATAAACTATAACTGAAAGTCATTTTTAATTAAGGGAGCTACCTTGGCATCTTCAGGCATCATACCCTTCAGACTTTCTTCGATATATCTCCTCTCTGCCACTGAGATGCGGGGATGTTTCGCTGGAGCATCGTACACACAAAAGAACCAGGCAACAAACCACAGCACCCCAAAAGCACCTGAGAAAAAGAAGTTGACAACTATGACCAAACAATCAAAAGTATGTGAGAAAGGACTTCTTACTTATTTAAATTTTATCTGATAAAATCAGCATTTTTGCTAAAATGAATTTAAAATATTCTTTGAAAAGCAAAGTACTGTACTACATTTTTATCAAGTTGAGAATACCTTTCATTTTCCATGGGGGTTCTCGTGGTCCAGTGGTATGGTGTTCGCCTCTCATTCAATTGGTCCCGGGTTCAAAACGTGACATTGACAGAAAATGTTCTTCTCTAAAATAAAAAAAAAAACTCCTTTCACCTTTCCCGCTCTCTAATCATGTTCTGTTTTCTGCTTTCGTCTCCACTTACAGCTTGTCTTTCAGCCACACCCCTGATGTTAGGGTAGGTAAGTTTTAACACCTAGCCTTCTCCTATAAGCCCGAAAAAATCTGGAAGGTCCGGTGTGCAAGTTGCGCATGTTAATGATCCCTTGGTGGTCCTAAAATCGAGTTTCAATTTCACATACTTACTATTTCTTAATATGTATGTTTGTATGCTTGTCTATATTTGTTAATACGGTAGTCTTTATAGGGGCTTTTTGTTCAACTTCTACAATTGAAAGGGCTTTTAAGTTCACAGAAAAAATATACAAAAGAAATGATATACAGACTTATCTAACTTGTCTGCAAAGATGTGCTCACATTCAATCCTCTTCATTTCTATAATTTAAAAAATAGCCTACTCATCTGACTACAAACCTTGAACATAAAAGACACTTGGCCAGCCCCCATCAAAGCCATATTCACACAGCAAGGCTGTCACTGGATATGTCAAGACTTTCCCTACCTGTGAACCTTGAAATCATAAGTTATTGTAAGGCATGGGAATAAAAATATCTGAGGCATAGTGTTAGATAAAGAAGTTATGTACATAATTAAATAAAGTACATTGTATTATAAGGTCTCAAAGGAAAACTGCGTTTCTGTAAAAGATACAGTATGTTCTTTCAAAGATTCAAAGTAAAGGTTTAATTTTGATACAATTTTTTCACTGCTGTTCATATTGAAATGTTAGCTCTCTTTTCACATAATATCCTGCAGTTGGCACACATATGCCCTTCGTTTCATGAGCCTCTGTTTTCCCAAACTAACTGTATACTAATGACCACAGCATCTCGAGTTCCTTGAATATGGAAGCAGCCCAATTACCTAAAAGGTTCTGACGCTTTAAACAGAACAGGTGTCAATCAATCAGAATAAGGCGTATCTGAGACTCTGCTAATCACCATACAGTAAATCAGAGTTCATACATGACAGAAAGTTGTATTCTGTAAACACTATTGACAGGTCAAAAACACAGCAGTGGTGCAAAGAACTTAAAACCATGAAAGTCAAAGAAGGAAATCTATGCTACAATGATAGCAGTGGCTTTAAATTTAGAGATTTTTGAGTAGTAAAGCTCTATCACATTTAACTCATGGCTCTGCCTGGGTGCACTGTGTCAAACAGAGCATGGAGTCAAAGATAATACCATTAGGAGAAAAGTTACCAGCAAAGGAGATACTTCTGAGACGACTACTTTCCAAGGGTGGAGCCCAGTGTGACCACAAGGACTGCATGGCTGGAGACACAAACCCCTGGAAAAACATACATGGTAACCATTACTTGGTGAGCATATCGAATGCTCTGTGCGTAAGACTCCATCATATGTCACTTTTCAAAATGGTGTATGGCAGTCTTACACTAAGCAGCTGTTATGTTTTAAAAGGGAATAATAATATAAGACTGCATTTATATAGTACAGATCCCTACTTTAAAGTAGGCTATTTGCACTTTCACCAGCAACATGAAATTGGTAGCATTTTAAATCATTGGAGTGGCATGGATGACTTTCTGCTACACTCATTCCATTCCTTCCAATTGTTGAACTTATTAACAGCCTCATATATTATTAATCAGAGCTGTACACTCTGAGATACAACCCACCCTTCATTTCTTCTGTATCCATCTCCACTTCTGTCCTCCATACATTTATTTTGAATAATCTTAATTTTACAGAAACATAGCTTAGTGCTTTTTGCTCCAAATGGGAAGTACATTTGTTCACAGTAATCACAGACATTAATATTAAGCAGGACATCAATATGTTAAAATTAATGTTTGAGGACCTGTAAATGGCAGCTTGCATAGAGGACAGTCACTTGCATAGAGGACAGTCACTTGCATAGAGGACAGTCACTCACCGAATCTACACAGTACTTTTTTCCCAACATTGCAACATGAGAAGTTTTTACAAAAATGGGAGTCTGACATTACATTTCTATTTCCGGGGTTCATGTTATACATTAAAAAGTACAGAGTGTAATCAACTACTGGCTTCTTCCTTTGCGTAGGGTTTACATTATAATTTCCTTAAAATACATCAAAATGAAAATACCAAGTCCTGCAATAAAAACACGAATCAGAACTGCTGTCTCAATGACTTAAAAGAAGAAAATCGATAAAGGAGTAAACATAGCATTCTATGAAAATACCCAGAGAAATTAACTGCACTTGAAACACAAATTTTTAGACATAAACAAAACATGAATGCTTATCAGATTAATTAAAAGTTTCTATTGTGAAACTGAACCCTGCAACTACATTGCAATAGCTTGCACCTTCCATCTAAAGGGTCATACCTGAGAGAGGCCTGTGATAAAGCGGAGCACCAGCAGGCCAATGAAATCTGTACGAGATACCGTGGGCACCAACAGTGTAAGTACTGCAGCAACTAAGAGGGACAGACCAATCACATGCTTGCCGCCAAAGCGTGTGGCTAGGTATCCCCCCGCAACGTTGGTCACGATATATCCCCAGAACAGCGACCCATGTACCAGTCCTTGTTGTGCTTTATCCCATAACAGTTCACCATCCTATTATGAAAAAGTCAAAAATGAGACAAAGTGAGAAAAAAAAAGCACAAATACAATGTCATCTTGAAAGTTTTCAAAAAGTTTTTTGTTCAAAATGAAAACGAGCAGTGCAAACATCAAACTCACTCTCTATGTAATGGCAAGATAAATTTTCAGGACTACCTACCTACCTGTAAACCTTTTATAACTGGTTATAATATAATAGATTTTCCTTGTCACTATCTTAGGGAAAATCATATATATACTACACATACAGTAATTACATGCAAACAAATTCAAGTAACAAATCATGTGGAGAATTCTAAACTGTAAACATTTTGATGGATACAATACATGTACAAGTTTTGAAAACAGACAAAATTCACATAACTCTTAACAAATGAATTTTCATCTTTGAAAGCAGTCTGCTTACAAGGGGAAAAAAAGTCACAAGACAAAAAGAAATTCCCCATGAACAAAACAAGTTCACAGTCTTGGGACAGGAAGCACACAGTTCTGTGTTTACATCAGAAATATGGACCTTCTGAACTTTGACTTTAATCAACCTCAATCTCTCCAGTAAGATAATGAGAGGTGATTTTTATTCTCTTGCCTCTTGTTGACATAAAGTGGGGAAGGGATAACTTTTGTTCAGTTAAAAGTATTTTTTTCTGATTTATTCGGTGGGGGGTGGTGCCTTTCCGTAGAGCTGCAAGGCATTTTAGGGTGATGGGCTGGTGGTGGAGTCCTCTTTCCATGAGGCGCTTGAAAATGTTTGTTAACAAGGGGAGACAAAAAGATGCCAAAACTAGTCTATGTAGCCTACCACTTTCATTAATTCAATTTTTTTAAAGTAAACTACACTTTATCATTTTTTTAAAATTCCTCAACAAAACAAAACCAATAGTTACCTCTTTGGTGTCTCTCCAAACAGAATCATTGTACGAACTGTATATCTGTTCGCCCTCACAGACAGCTTCTTTGGAAGAAGAATTTCCTTGTCCAAGGAGGGCATCATTAAACTTGCTTCCATTAAGCCTGCTAGTCTCAACATGTTGAATGGCTGTGTGGTTCACCATGCAAACAATAGCTATGCCCATATTCACTCTCAATGCATAGAAGTTCAGAAAGCCAAAGAAGGCAAAAATGGCAAGACTGAATCTTGCAGATTTCCATAGCGGAGCTGTTGAGAAGAGAAATAAAAGAATATTAGTATGAACAGTACTGATTATAATAACTAAGCTCCTACTTTTAATTTATACTTAACATAGATATCTATAACAAAACTAGGCATGATCTGCTTAGTTTCATACTTCTAATAAAAATGTTATGTCTCATGTAAGTGTTTAGATCATGAGGGGTTAAAAGACGTATTTTGCTTCAAATGTATTGATCATTCATCACCTTCAACAATTGCCTCCCCCACCAGGCACTATTAACACAAGAAAATAGAGTAAGTAGATTACTAATCCCAAATGCGCTACAATTATAAAGCCCTTTACTCATTCATATTTTTAAATCTACAGTTGTATTTTTTTCATTTTTTTGGTCTCATATCACACTGTTGTTTGAAGTTAACACATTTCCTCTTTGATCACATTCCTACTTTCTTTTAGCTGACTATAGCTTCTCAATCTACTTTAACACATTCTTTTTCTTCTTCTTCTTTTTCTTCTTCTTTTTCTCCTCCCCTTCTCTTCTTATTTTTCTTCTTGTTCTTCTTCTTCCTTGCATACACTTGGCTCTTATCTAATTCCCCTCCATCTTAAGGATCACTTTGCTTCAAGAACGCCTCCTCTTCGGTAAAATATATTATCTTCAACAAAAAGATGCGTAAATCATGTAACACC